TACCCTTTCTTTGTGTAGTGCATTTTTCGTTTTGAGTTCATTGCAGCGCGGTAATTTTAGAGCAAAAACGATCTCATAGAGAGGAGGTTCGAAAGCGGATGTTTTAAAAAATGTTGCTCACGCACGATGAAAGAGAAATAGATCTCTTGTTTTTCCTTTATATTCTATTTCGTGCTTCATTTTATTGAATTTAATGAATAACACGTGTAAATTATGGCATTATTATGAACACATGCCATTCTAATTAATGGAATGAAATACGAAAACACAACATTGGAATATGAGATCTTATACAGACTTTTTTGCAGTTAAATGTATTTGAAGCTAATGATTTTGCCAGGCAGCAATATTGTAATGTGATGTTAGTGATATATGATCAGAGGGCTTGTTGCACAAAATTAAAAATAAAAATTAAAAAAAAATAAAAATATATATATATAGTCACGAGCTTTTGGTCAAAGAACCTTCTTTTGCTGGTATATATATTTTAGTCGCCATATTACAATCACGAGCTTTTGGTCAAATCTTCAACTATGTACAAAATATTAAATTGCAGAGACGACTCTTTTCTGTAGTCTCTAGACTTTTGAATTTATTGCGTGATTGGCGGGCCAACACGAAAATGACAATTGATAATGATAATAACAAATCATTCCACGTCAATAAACAAAATAATAACCAATGATAATTAAGATGACAATTGAAATTTGACTATGAATACGAAACCATATTTGTCTAAGTAAAAAATGTAGATTTAGTCTTGTTGATCTCACACTTCAACTTTTTGTCTGCAATTTTAATCTCAAAGCTTCAACTTTTTGCCTTTTGGTCTCCTGATTTATATTTTGTTATATTTTGTTGCAATTCAAAGGACTGAAATTGCAACAAAATTTTAAATTAGAAGACTGAAATTGCAACAAAATTTTATGTTACAGAATTTAAATTGTTAATCGAAAATCTGGGAATTTGGAAATTTGTTACAATTTCAGTTCTTAAATGCCTGAAATTTCGACAAAATATTAAATCACATTATCAAAAGGCGAAATGTTGGAACTTTGGGACTAAAATTAATATGACGTTAAACCAGCAAGACTAAAAATGCAATTTTGCCATTGCCTAATTTGAGGAAGAGCATAGTAGCTCAATGGAGTCATAATGAAGTAGTTCTTTGATCATTTGTTCCACATTGTCTTCCTCAAACTGCTTTATTGGTTGCCGATGACAACTGCAAGAATGTCGACCCGTACAAACTCATCCACCCGATAGGTCGGGTGTGGAATTTGGTAATTTCTGCGGAGTAACCGTCTCGTCTGTCGATCATCATCAAGTTGAGTGAGTCCATGTAGCATTTTCGAAGCTTGGCCATGAAAGTTGCCGAGAGAAGTCAATTAGAGTGATTGTTACAATAAGGATTGTTTGGGTCGTACGTAAATTTGGTTTTGGCTAGTGGGCCGGATATTAGCCTAACTGCCTCGTCGTAGGCTCTTGCAGCGTCCTCAGCTGTCTCGAACGTCCCGAGCCATATTCTAGTCTTTCTGCAAAAATCGGTCAAAATGTACCCAAACTTTATGAAAGCATATTCGGAACTCGATCCCTTGATAGTGACCCCTTTTTCACGGGATGGGATTTCTCATTACAAATTCATGATTTATTTCATTAGATGAATGACGCGTGTCTATGATGACATCACAATTATACACGTGTCAATCATCCAACAATAAAATGAAACGGAAATTAGAATACGATTTCGAAACGGTAATCTTTGTCCCATTTTCACCATAGATCTACATATACTCACGCACATACTCATACTGCGTCTGTTGTGATGAGAGAGAGAGAGAGAGAGATGAACTTACAGCAAGGGGTGTTGGATTTCCGAAACCCATGAGCCCCAAGGGGTGTTGGATTTCTGAAACCCATGAGCCCCAATGCCTTTGGCGAACGCCTTTGTAACGGTTTTGCAGTCTTGCCATCTTCAAACTGCCTTTATTATCTTAGTATTTGCCAAACTTTGGGCAATGAACAAGAGACAATAGCGAAGAGAATAGGGAGGAATGTAAATATATATTATATTTCATTTGCAATTTCACTCTAAATAGACAAGAAAAGGGGAGTTTGAATTGATTGAGCAAAAGGGGAATGGGTCCATCATTTAATAACATGCCAACGTCAAAACTACATTATATTAACTAGCTTGCTGTTGAATTTCCCTTGATCTTCAGAGACCTTTCAAGTTACAGTCCACTAGATTGTTTTTTCCTTTTTATTGTTTCTTTTTCCGGGACCGATCAAGGTTCTTGATTGCCAATCATGACATCCTAAACAAGAATCTTGACTAAAGATTAACTTACCCTACAGCTGTTTCATGATGACAAATGTTAAGGAAAATAATGGCCTCCTTAAAGTTCAAGCACTTAGCAAAATAAATTGTCGTTTTCATTTTCGCCGTGAATGAAAGAAACTTGCAAAGAGCTTTCAATGTCAAGAACATTAATGTGAGGGAAGCGTCTCCACGTCATATATACAGTCAAATGTGAACGAAACAAGTCAAGTATCGATTATGCATTCCATGGCATTCGTCATTTTCTTCGCAGTTCTTAAGGGTAAAATTGCCAAAAACTTGGGAAGGTCATAGTCTCATGGATTCCAAAAATGCCCTTCCAAACAGTAACAAATTCAATATATTTGTGTCTGTATACATTTGTTTTCCCAAACAAAAGTATGTATGCTGATTGATCTTTTGTTTTAACCCTTTGTAGATTTTACNAAAAAAAAAAAAAAAGAAAAAAAAAGACAGCCTATTTGGTGCTTTATCCAGTGCAGTACTTGTGTGAGTCTTTCCACATAAAACCCAACTATTTTACCGCCCAGCTATTTGCCCGTCCAAACGGGAAGTTGTATTTATTTTTTCATGGCAAATTGGGTGCTTGAACAGGCCAATTAAATTAAACCTTCTTTTGCTAACTACAATTTTTCTCATGGAAATGAAGTTTGGTAACACCAAGTCAATAGCCATATAATCAAACACAAAGATTAAAATGAGTTAATCATTCAATCCACTACAAAACACAACACAAATCCTAAAAACCTCAATGGAACAAAAACAATCTCTTTTCCTCATCACACTACATAAAAAAAATATGATCCTCAAAGTACGTACCGTCACCTCGGAACCTAGCTTCCCTCGTGACATCATCAAGAACATCGTAAATCAAACCCGCATTCTCATTCGACCAATCCCCCGCGAAGAACTCGTACACTTCCCCTTCTACCTGAATCCAACTCCTCCCGGGAGGCTTCTTCGCCTTAGAATCGACCATCTTCCTCCTCACAGCCGACACATCACCCCACTTGTCGGCCGCTGCACACACGTTCGACAGAAGCACTAAGTACCCTGCGGCCAGGCCCGGGTCAAGCCCGTCGGTCAACAAATCTCCCACTTCCAAAGCAAGGTCAACGCTTTTGTGTATCCTGCATCCTCCAAGAAGCGCACCCCAGACAACATCATTGGGCCTCATCGGCATACGCCTCACCATCTCGTGGGCCTCGTCCAAAAGCCCGGCCCGACTCAACAAATCGACCATACAACCAAAATGCTCGATCTTGGGCTCGAGCCCGTACTCGTCGGTCATGGCCCGAAAGTAGTACCGGCCCATATCCACATATCCTGCGTGGCTGCATGCACAGAGCAAGCCCAAGAATGTGATCTCGTCGGGCCTGATATTGATATTACCCTTCTCGCTAACACTCGACATCCATTGGAAAACCGAGAGGGCCTCGTTTGCATATCCGTGCTTGGCGAAGCCCGTGATTATGCTCGTCCAAGAAATAGTTGTCCTCTTCTCCATCCTCCGGAAAACGCCAAACGCGGCATCTATTTCGCCACACGATGCGTACATGTGGATGAGCGCGTTATTCAATGAAACGAGCACGGCCCGTTTTTTGGAGATGAAGGAATCGAACACGTGTGCGTGGACCCATTTCCCGAGGCTCAAATCGCCTACCTCAGCGCAAGCCGAGAGGACTGCCACGAGCGTGACCTGGTCGAACTCCACGTTTTCCCGCCGCATTTGGTGGAAAAGGCCGATTGCATCCTTGCACCTCCCGTTTTTCGCATACCCTGAAATCATAACAGTCCAAGACACCAAATTCCTCACGGGCATTTTACCGAACATGTCCTGCGCGCAATCAACGTCTCCAAATCGGAAACACCCAGACAGCAATGAGTTCCACGTGGCCACATTTCTCACGGGCATTTCATCAAACACCTTCCTCGCCTCCACAATCCCGCCGTTCTTGGTGTAGAAATCGACCAGGCTCGTTGAGACGTGGACGTTGGAGCAAAACCCAATCTTCAGAACCTTCCCGTGAACCTGGCGGCCTTCGGCCGACAACCCCCCTTTCGTGCAGGAGCTAATCACGTAATTGTACGTGTACTCATCCGGCGGCGCCGGAGAACGAGCCATGCCGGCGAACAACTCGACCGACTTACGAGGGTCGCCGAAAATCGAGTGGCCACGGATGATTTGGTTCCAGAGAGGGGTGCTTGGGCTGCGCACATGGTCGAACAGTTGGTGGACGCGCGGGAGATCGTCGAAGGACGCGTACAGAGACACAAGCTTGGTGAGGATGAAGGCTTTGTCGGAAAAGCCGTTGGTGGTGATCTGTGCGTGGATTTGGGAGAGGTGGTTTGGGGATTTGCAGAGGTTTTGCAGAAGGAAGAAGAGGTTCTGTTGGAGGGACCTTCTGGTGGAGTTCGCGGCGAAGGTTTGTTCGGCGAACATGCACGCGGTTTTTTCTTTTGGTTAATGTTATTGTGAGGGAATTTATATTTGTGTTCTGGTTTCCACCAATCTTTCTGCACTATTGATCCAATTTCATATTTTATGGATGTTTTTAGGTTTGTTGGTAGCTGTGTTTGTTTATTGCATTTGGTTTGGAGAGTTTGCCTATTTTCACTATGGTGATTCAAAATTGGGACCAAAGTTGGTCCTGAATTATAGTTCTAGCAGAAAACAAGCTCNAAAACTCAAAATGAGTACATCTTTAATGAAAAAATCAACACAAAGACTAGATCTACCCCTTGAAATTACATAGTCATCCAAACAAGCTCATCTTTTGCACTTCATTTCTATATGTGACAACTACCCAACAATGAACTCCAAAAAATTATGTTAACCAAGGCTTCAATTTTATTATTGATTTATGAATTATGAGGATCATATACAATTTAAACATTACACAAGAGAAAGAAACGAACCAGGACAAGTAAACGAGACAAATAAGATAAAAAGATAAAAAACCTTAACATGGTCAACATACATTTAGATAGGTCAAGATATAATATCTGATTGTTTTTCGCCTTACTACACACACGTTACGAAAAAACTCAAGAATCGTCCCTACAACGGTAGTACGGAGGGCAACCCCTATGGTAAGGATTTGACGAGCTCGGCACGCACTGACCACCTCCGTTCGTATAAGGTTGACCGGGCGCACCACCATTGCAAACCGGTTGATCCCTCTTGAGAGTACCCGGCGTAATGTATTTCCTCTGCGTGAGAAATCGTCTGCTCGTCTCTGACTCCATTAGAACCTCCAAATCCCGGTCGCATTCGGCTATCGAGCCCTTACAGGGCGGTAGTGGGGTGGGCCTACTGCTGTTGAAGGTGGCGGCGGCCGCCGTGTTGTGGTGGTGGTTGATGATCATCACATGTGTGAAGGCTATTATTATGAGGATTATGAACAAGGTATTGGTAGTGTCCATTTTAGTGGATTGTATGTGATTGCTTTTGAATTTTGGGAGAGGGTACTTAGTTGAGTATTATAGTGGGGTGGCTATTGGGAATTTAGTGGAAGCCNAGTCATTTTGTTTAGTTTACAAAATCAACTGCGAAAGAGTAGTGTGTTTGCTATTTTCTCTTATGTAATTATTCTAACTATTACTAATTCATGGTAAACAACAGTAAATAATAATAATTATAAATTAAAATTGTAGGGTTAATATGTAATATAATATCGATTTGTTGAAAACTATACATAAAATTAACTTACGTAAAAAATCATAAAGCATATATGTATAAAATAATAAAAACACCTCGAATATTATATAACATATGTAAAAATTTATTATTTGTAATAAATGTTTACTATTTATTACAAATCCCAACACCATCCTTTGTCAATTTCAACTTTCACATTAGATGTAATTCTAACATTTATTATGTGTAATAAATATTTACCATTTATAAGTCCTTTTGGTAACTCCACATATTCACAAAAAACAAAAAATAATAATAATGAAATAAAGTAAATATTTATCATTAATAAGTTCTTATTGGTAAGTCCACATATTTGAAAAAAAAAAAAGTATTAAAAAGGAGATATTTTAGAATAACTCATCTTCTTCTCTATTCTTCTTTTTTACCAATAGTTGAACCCTTGACATCATGATGGACAATACATCCACTAACCACCGAAGTCAAGAAACCTTGGTGCTACAACATGTCATATTATTTAAATGACCAGTTAATTAGATCAATTTCTCCCTGTTTGTTTTTATACACATATATTGCTCATTTGATATATATATTTTTTATGGAATGATCGTGTTGTTTACACACCATCAGATAACAAGATTATAGAGACAATGAAGAAAACACAATATGAATAAGACAAAATAAAAATTTTAGTTAAATTTTAAATTTAGTACCACACTTATGAACAAATAAAACAAATAATATCGAGGCATGATAGTGAATTTTTTATGAGCAAATAAGACATAATATTAAAGCATAATAGTGAAATCTGAATATATGACACTATAATTCGATTTATCGCTCCTATATTTTGATGGATTTTCTTTTAAATGGGAGATATAAATATTTTAATGGCCCAAACAATTAGCCCAACTCAGAAAATTATTAATCATTAAAATAAACAAAAAAGTATTATAAAAATGGCCCAAAAAGTAAGACGGGACACAGCCCAAAATAATTCAGTCAACAATAAGCAAAATATAACAAAATAACATGGCCCATGCAGGTCTCGAACCTGCTACCTTCAGGTTATTAGCACGACGCTCTAATAAGCTGGGCTAATAGGCCTCTTACGGTACGTTGTTATGTTAGTACATGAGATTACCAAGTGACTTTTTAAAATACAAGCATAAAGATGACATTGTTGTAATATAAGGTGCGCATGCACCTCGTGTTATTATTTTAATGTATGTGAATGACTATTTTGTCCCTGATGTAATTGTATTATTACGATTGTACCATCAGAAGTTTTCCTATAAATAGGGACTTCAGTTATAATGAAAAATACACCTACGAGAATACAGTTTCTCTATTATCTCTCTTTTCTCCCTTTAGTTTTATAACACGTTATCAGCACGAGTCTCTGCCCTCTAGAGCTCGATTTATAATATGACGAGAGTATGCTCTACAGTTGCGTCTTATAGACGATCCTCTGTATCAGAAATTGAATTATTATAAATTATAAATTATTTATTATCTTTAGAGCATGAAAAAAATTATGGAAATTAGTGGACGCAAAATCCTAATTTCTCCACCTGCAAGACTTTCAAGGGAGATTTTGCAACGACTTCAAGTTGCTGCTTAGCATATGTTTCGAACTTTGGCCCGAACTAGACAGGATGCAAGCGACAACCCGATTAACTCTCAAACTGCAAACCTTCGGGTTTTTGCCAACCTGACCCGGCAACGATATCGCTTTGCAGCCCGTAATCATTTTCAAATTCACCGAATGCATTTCGCACAAAAACGGGTACGCTTATGAGTTTTTTTTAAAAAAAAAATTTCAATATTTTTTTCTGGTTTTTCTATCTCAATTCAAGATATGCGGACCTTTTTATCAATGGAAGATAACAGAGAAATGGAACAGTGGATGTAGTGTAAGATGGACCTACACTAATAGTTTTTCAATAACGTGTTAAAATGAAACTCCCACTAATAAATATTAAAACAATTATTGAGATTACAAATGATGTGGGCACCATCATACTAATATTTTTATATATGCGGCACAATAAGTATTTTTTATATAATCATTCATTATATTTTGATTCAGAATAAGTTATGTTTATCGATATAAACATTTTTCAATTTCATAATACTCAATCTAATGATAGCTTCATTTTAAGACCAATATTGATATAATTTATCAAATTATATATATTGGCATTATGAAATGTATGTATTTTTCTATTGAGAAAATTATTTGGTAAGTGAACATGTAAATATTTATGTGATACGAAATATGAAGTGCCAGAAGCACATGTACAAAAGGATAATTTATCAAATGAGATATATGATAGAAAATTATCTCTTATATAAGACTATATTTACTTGATTTAATTGTCCTTATTTATGAACATATCTTGTTTGATATGTATTCTATTATTGTTATCATTAATTGTTAATATTTGAAAGTGATATGTCCAGTAGACATTATAATCTAGATAAGGATTATTTTCACTGATGGAGGAAAAATATAGTGTTCACTTAAAATTGATTTATTTTGATGCTCAACTTATATATTTGATAATTAGCATGAGCAGTTGAATCATATTGAACAATTATTTTTCCCAAAATGGTGCGTGGAAAATTGAACATTTCCCATCTGCGATTTATTATTATGCACAATCTTATATCACCACCAATTCGTACCTTTATGGGCCAATATTATAAACTAGGTATGATATGATACTCCGTCGGATTTTTAATACCTAGAGGCCATTATAGGGGTCAATTTATTATTTGGTACGTATTGTGCGACAATATTTAATGGCATTAGGGGGAGATATGAGCATAAATTTATTAATGCCGTAAAATATTTGAAATATTATCTGAAACCACGCATTAAAATTGAACTTGAAGTTCATATTATATTTCTGCCAAACGAAATTTATAGTAATAATGGAGTGAACGATTTGTATATATCTAAATGTACCACAAAGTAAGCAAAATCCCTAGGGAATGATTGAATCCTTAATGCTAGAAGTATAAGGTGATATAATATATGATGTATGAAAGTCCGCGGAAAATATATATATTCAAGATTTAACACTACTTTCTAAAGAAACTCCTGGAGAGTTGATCCAGTACATCTTGCACGTGCATCAAATCATTATATATAGTACTGGAAATGCGGAATAGCCAAAATTAAATGTTATGGGAAATGATTATAAATATGTCTACTAAATATGAAGTTGCGCGAGAGAATGTAAATTGAATATCATAGTTGTCGACAACATAATTGCCTATGTAATTTCTTTACTATCTCAAATAATGATCCGAATCAAAATAATGAAAGTGCTAGAAGCGCTTAGATTGATTGAGATAGAAAGAAAAATAAAGGCATAGTTTTTACTCGCTACACGATATATCCCAGAAGGATAGTATATCTCAGAAGGATAATGATTACTTATATGTGATATGGTGGTATGATGTAAATATAGCGAGATTATGGGTTTACGCAGAGACCCAAAATTTTATAAACTTTCTCTCATTATCAATTATTCCGCAAGTTAATATTTATGGCAGCAAAATTACCATGACTATTGAGTCATTTGTGAAAGTCATGTGTAGACTCGAGTACTCGAGATGAAAGATAATTAAATTATTTAATTATAAAGTTGTTGGTAAGATGTGGTACAACCAGCAAAATTATTCCTGAAGAATTAAAGTATGAAATTCAAGGTAGAACCTTGTGTATATTGATAATATACAAAATGATCATCTCGGTTAAATAGATTATGAACACTATGTAAAAAGATTAAATAAGTTAGCTCATGCTTATAGACGGAGTCATAATAAAACTATTGGTTAAATATCAATGAGTATTATCTCGATTTGAAGATCGAGCAGCTCCTAGAAGGAGTATTTGTAAAGATCCCAAAGAAACTAAAAATATTATTATTACTGAAGAACAAGTACATAAGGATCATATGATGGAAATACAGATAAGAGGTTGTGAATCCTCAATAAATATGCGAAAAATATTACATAATAGAACCCATTAAAGGAGGGTGCGTCTCGAGAGTATAAACTCCGTAACTCTGCCACCCATGATTATTATTTGGGTTCATAATGAAAGATCTAAAGGATCAAAAGCTCTTTTTCGCTTAACCCCTTGTGTTTCCACAGAATCTTGAAATGTGATGCATTCTTGAAGCTTTTTGATAAGCTCAGAAGGCGTGTCTGCAGATTTGAATACTTCTCTCGTTAAAGGAGATATAAAGGTTTGATATACTCCTTCGTCTAAAAATCCAAGCAAACCATGAAAATAATTATTACAATTCAATAGACCTATGGGCTTATTATGAAGTTTCAATTCTGCCCAAGAAGCAATGGTAAACATTGTCATTAAAGTTCTATAACCGCCTGGTAGAATGATAAAAGCATCACTATTGTTCACCATATCCATCATACAATCATAAATAGAATGGGTTAGCATCAAACTTGTGGAATCTTTGACGACCCTTGTTGAAGCTCTATGAAAAGGTATGATACTTTTCACTTCTATATCAAAACATTTTCCAGCCATTAAAAGGTTATCAAAGAAAGTGATGCTAGTCCCTCCATATAGTAAATTAATTTTTCGATTCCCCATCTCTCTTACTAGCTGGCTTACAATATCAATATTTTGAGAAAAACTTACTAGTTTAGAACCACCAAGAACACATATGGTTTTGATTGGTGGAAGAAAATTATTACCGTGCGAAGACTCTGAAACATCCATCTATTTATTGATAAACTGAATTTTTCAGAAGTTTATGAGATATATGATTATGATGAATGACTCGCTATTTAAAGGAAAGTTTTTACAAAACGATAAATACTTGTACTGTTTTTCTTCTGACAATTGCGACTGACAGATAAGGCATGGGGTTTTAAATAAATCTTATCTGTCGGCAGCTATAAGGATTTTTGTAAAATTACAGTACAACCTACTAAACAGCATTAGTATGATTTTTCGTACTAGCAAGAACAATTTTTACAAACTTGATCTTTTGAAACAATATTTTTGAGACTATAACGTTCTTCTTCATTTTTGAAACGAATCCATAGAGACATAAGCTCTCGATGCACGTAACCACTCGGATGTGTCTCAAGAATCTGTTGAATCGTTTGATCCATAGATTCTTTACTCAATCCATCCTTTATAAATGATATTTTATCTTCTCGATTTTTGGACACGAACCCCACAGATGTACATCGTGTGTCACAAGTCCATCGAGCGCATTTGAAACATCCACCTAATCTTTTTGCTCTTCGTTTCTTTGAAAAAGTACTTTTACCCATACCTGGCATATATTTGTATGAATTTGGAAATTCTCCAGACAATCGAACTTTTGCTTCAATCAACCATCGAATGTCACTTGGTATATCATTAATCATTAGCACCCTCAATCTTTCTAATCGAGATCGATATATCCTTTTTATGATATTTATTGGGAGAAAAGAATAATATTTACGGATATTTGAGAGTGCTAAATCCATTTGTGAATTCGGACCTTTGTTAAGGAAGATTGAATGATTTACCTGATAATTTATAGAAATGATGCGTATGCGATACGACTCTAAAAACAGAGCTTAAAAGTCTTTATGTCAGAAGGCATGATACGCGTTTCTGAATTTAAATATTAGGTGTACTAGAAGTGCATTTATTGCCGCCGAAAGATGATGTGATATGTTTGTGATAAATATGAATTATTGTGATGTTTACCGATATAAATGATAATGGTTTGCATGATTTGTGATATGTGATGTTTTGTTCTCGATTGATGAAAATTATTACTAGCTAAATATTTGTGAATCAATATGAAAAAGGGGTACGATATATGGGCCTACTACCCCTCCATGTGTGCTACTAGATATTATGGATCCACTAGTAAGCCACATGTGTGTGATTCGAAGTTACGAGATGATTTGATCAAAGAATGTGAATATGACACGTAACTTGAAGTTACAAGATGGGATGATTATGAAAAAAAAAAATGAAAATAAGTGTCATATGAAAGTGATGAAGCTAGTAATATACTCAATTGATATGATGAACTCTTGAAAGAAAAATGTGCACATTACAAATGATATGAGTTCAAAGTCCTCCAAATATATGTTGAAATCGAGAACAAAATAGAGACTATATGAACTCCCCTCAAGAAGTTCAATATAAAAAATACAGATCAGGGATCTGTTCAGATGAGGGGGAAAATCAATAATTGAAATTTGGAAATGATATATGCATCACACTGAAAGTATGCAAACTGAATGATACTGATGATGGAGAAATATATGAAATTATATTATGGTGGAATAATACACCAGAGACGTTGGTATTGTGCAAATTGAAATTCCCCAAATAAGGGATGAAAGGAGACATATATATTGATGAAATCAATTGATAGTGAGATATCTCAATATATTACGGGGAATAATGGAAATGAATAAGTGTCGACACAAACAAATGAATAGCGCTATATAAATGATATTGACGATGATGAAATCAGCTGAAATGTGAATATTGGGAACTATTGACAGTAAGACCATTGAAATCAATTGATGATGAGAATGAGTTTAAGAATAAAATTTGCACAAAGTATGGTATGGCATACCATCAGTATCTGAAATCTGAACGAATTTATACGATACTCATGCAAATTATGGAAATATTATGTTGAATATATGGAATACGCGTTGTACTCTTTTTCCCTTGGCTGCGGTTTTGTCCCATTGGGTTTTCCTAGCAAGGTTTTTAATGAGGCAACATGGATGGCATATTCACATGAATAGTGTACTCTTTTTCCTTCATTAGGATTTTGTCCCACTGGGTTTTTCCTAATAAGGTTTTAACGAGGCATATTCATGGTATGATGAGGACTACTGGATAAATGATATAATTCCTCACGATGATAAGAGAGACTGGAGTAGCTGTACTCTTTTTCCTTCGATCAAGTTTTTTCCCACTGGGTTTTCTTGACAAGGTTTTAACGAGGCAGCACGTGGATACTCCACTAAAGATGATTTATTTGAGGGGGAGCAATGTTGTGCTTCCACAATGCTCAGGTTTTGTCCCACCGGGTTTTCCTGAGGAACCAAAGTTATGACTTCACAATGATCAGGTTTTGTCCCACCGGGTTTTCCTGACATGCTGAAGCAACGGTACCTGATGGCCACAAGATACACTTGAAGATGTGCAGATTGAGCTTTGTTCAAATCAGTTAAAATATGTTTAAGAAATAGTCATTCAAGGGGGAGTGTTGTAATATAAGGTGCGCATGCACCTCGTGTTATTATTTTAATGTATGTGAATGACTATTTTGTCCCTGATGTAATTGTATTATTACGATTGTACCATCAGAAGTTTTCCTATAAATAGGGACTTCAGTTATAATGAAAAATACACCTACGAGAATACAGTTTCTCTATTATCTCTCTTTTCTCCCTTTAGTTTTATAACAGACATTTTTTTTTTTTCATTTATTTATTTCTTCTCCTTACAATAGGCATAAATATTTAACCACAGCATAATTGTCAGTTTTCACACACACTACGAAATACCCCAAATGGACTGGAATAGTCTCATCTGACAAACACCAAAAGATTGATTTTACAATAAATTATAGTTCCAATACAATTGACACAGCTGCTATATTTTGGTCCCCCAATTAATCAATAAATTTAAATTGCTCAATAATCAAGAGGATCACATGTATAGACTGATAAATATAATGGACCAGCTTTTATCTGTAAACCACACAAGCGTGCATTTTGCTGTCTGCCTCATAATATCTAGCAAATGATATGGCTTATTTGATGTTCCTTTGGGTGTGTTTGTAAACTAATTATAAATTCACTTAGAGTGAGATTTTTTAGTTAATTAGGGTTAATTTAGAAAAAAAAAAGTGGTATAGTAAGTTGTTCGTGGAATTTTGAGTTTATATTAAAATAATATTTAAAATAAAATAATTAAAATTGATTTAATGTAAAAGTATGAGAAAGGTAATATAAAAGACGAGCAGCCCTTAAACACAAAAGCCCTAAGAGGGCTCTTCTTTATACATTCAAAAAGCCCTTAAGTAGATATCCCCGAAAACCGAACTCAACAACTTTTTAGGAGTAGGTTTTGGCTTTCGCGCAGCTCAGGCTTGGAGCACTCTTTCCATCTTCAAAAGACTGAATAACAACGTCAGGTGGGGCTAGCGGCAATCCCTTATTAAGAAATTCGAGTTTCCGCCTAATTAGCCGTGATCTCCCGCGAGGTGGATTGCCCAACTGTAGGAGCTGAGGGAAGTGGATAAAGCCTGATAGCAAGCCTGAGTCGACTAGGGAACCACAGGCTGACTGATTGCAAAAGAAGCATCTTTCACTGGTACGGGCGGAGATGCAACTGCATCCATAGGAAGGCTCCGAGATAGAACAGTAAGTAGGCGTAGATAAAGGCTGACAGCCATATGAGAAGGCCATCATACTGCTTGAAGCTTGATTAGCATCATCAATATCTAAATCATCTGAGTCAATAACTGAATCTAATTGCAGACAGGAAATTGGATTGTGATGAGTAATTGGGAGCTTCGTAGCTCTCCAACACTTTTTAGTTTATTGATGCAATATTATGATTAAATATAAGTTTGTTAGAAGGTGATTAATTTAATATATTATATAAGAACAACTAATGACTAAAAAATAATTAAAATATTAAATTATATTTGTAATATAAATAAAGTAAGTATTATATAATTTCTATGCATAAGAATAGAATATAAAAAAGATCCACACCAAACTCGGAAAAATTAACATATAAGAAAAAATGGATAAAATAATCCACATAAATATTATCAAATCCCCATGTTTTCTCAACTAAATATTTGCAATTAATAAAAGTCGGCTTCTTTTCCTTTTATCCACTTTAAGATAATGTGAAACCTAAAAATGGCTGAAAAATAAAAAGAAAAGGCTTTCGGATAATGGCAAAATTCGTGACCCCACCTTCTTCCCTACGCCCTTTTCCCTTTAAAACCGCTGCCTCAAATTTATTTCTATTCTCCCCCTTCACGCTTTCTCTCTCTCTTCACCCAGCTTGAAGAATTCAAAACCGCAAACCCTTTTTTCCAAATTCCTTCTCAAGCACCAAATCTGCAAAAAAAGGAACAATTTTTCAACTTTCTTGTGTGTTGAGAATTAAAGCATCTGATATTTCCCTGTTTCTTATACTAGAAAAGAAGGGGTATTTAATCTGGGAAATTCTTGATTTTTTTTTGTGGGTTTAAAAAACAAAGAAAAAAGAAAAAAAGATTTACAGGTCCCGAAACATGGCTTCTTGTCTGAAAGCTGGTTTTTCTGGGTCCAGCAATATTTTCATCAGCCATGGAGGCAAAGAGCCTTCTCGGGTTTACTCTTCAGTTGGGCATCTGCAGTTTAAGGAGTCAAATTCAAAATCTTTATGGGGCAAACCTCTTTATTCCTCGGATTTGAGAAGTGTTGCCAATTTTAGTATTAGGGCACCAAATTTAGACCCTGTTAATGTGAGTATTCTGTTTTATATTTTTCATTTCCCCCTATTTTTAGATCTATTTATCAATATTATTCTTAGGTTCCCCTTAATAACTATGTGGGTTTGTTCCTTTTTTGTTGTTAGGCACAAGCTTCAGCTTTGTTCAGCAAAGCTTTGAGATGGTGGGAAAAATCTCTTCAACCAAACATGATTGAGATTAATTCAGCTCAAGATTTAGTAGATTATTTGTCTAATTCTGGGGATAAATTGGTTGTGGTTGACTTTTATTCCCCTGGCTGTGGTGGTTGCAAGGCTCTACACCCCAAGGTACTATTTTTATCACATCTTACATAATTTACTCATTGATTTATTAATCTATCAGTATCCTAATTGTATGTTCAATTGTTGAGCTGTTGTTGCTAAAAGATTTTTGAAACATGGTTTAATGAATTTTCTTTCCCATGTTTTTTACTTTTTACAGATCTGCCAACTTGCTGAAATGAACCCAGATTCAATTTTTCTCAAGGTTAATTATGAGAAGCACAAGGCCATGTGTTATGCTCTTCATGTTCATGTTTTGCCATTCTTTAGATTCTACAGAGGTGCTCAGGGAAAAGTCTGTAGCTTTAGCTGCACAAATGCCACTGTAAAGCTCTAATCTTGATCCATTCAGTCACTTGTTTTTCTTTAAAAAAATTAAAAAAAAAAAAAGAAAGAAAGAGAGAAAATCCATGTATGTGGTTTTGATTTTATTACAATTTTATCTAATGACAGATCAAGAAATTTAAGGATGCATTAGCTAAATACGGGGCTGAACGGTGTAATCTTGGCCCGGCAAAGGGATTGGATGAATCAGAGCTGTTGGCATTGGCTTCAATTGGTCAGATATCTGAAGATTTAGTAGTAGCCAAGCTAAGAAAGGAAGAGAAATTAGAAGATTTAGTTCTTAATGGAAGTGCTAAATCTGACTATGGGAATGCTATGGTGGCAGCTTAAAAGAAATTTGGAGAGATTTATGAAATGTTAACTAGGGCATGTATTTGTCTCTCTTGAAATTTTCTTTTTTAGAAACTTTTTATTTTTGGTTTTGTTGAGAGATGTAAATATGTTTCATTTTTCTTTTTTAAAACTTTCATCCTATGTATGGTAATTGTTAAGCAGGGCTTTTGGTTTTTTAGGTGTAAGCCCTTTGTATGTGAACCTGTTTACCGGTTCACTTGTTGATGTGTACAAAAGAGTGCAGATAAATTCACGCCTCTCTATCTATACTCAGATGTTATCTTTTGTTGATCTTATTAATGCTGTATTGAGAACATTTTGCATATAGAATTGTGGATCAAGTTGTGCAATTTGTTTGCACTTTTTTTTTTTCGCTTTTGGGTTACTCTTGTCTTGCAATAACTAATTAATAAGGTGATTAATATTGGTCTGAATAAAGAAATTGATTTCNTTTGGGAATATTTGAAATTTAATACTAAGATATCTTGTTTATTCTGGGGCTGTGCCTTTGTTATTCTTCTATATTTATTTATTTTGATTTGAGAAAAAATTATCAATTTTAAGCATAAAATCAAACATTAATTTTTATTTCAAAATTTCAAGCAATTAAATGACTTGCAAATGAGATTTTAATAATTGGGTCGAATATCAATATTAATAAAACATCTTACTGATATTTGAAATCTCACACAAATTATCTCCTTCCAAAATAGAGATGCAAAAGTGCACAAGAAAATAGTGAGATAGATTGTGGAAGGATTTAACATAAAAGTATAATGATTAAAGTTAATTCGATATGAAATAATAAAATATTAATTGATAAGATTGATAATCATAATATATATGAATGAATAATAATTTTTTGTTAAAAAAAATATAGAATAATAATAATAATTTCTATTTACTTAATTATGTTAGTTGCATCGCAGAGAAAAATGTAAATTAAGATGAATAATAGTTTTGTGAAATTTTTTCATCTATTTCTTGTTTCAATGTGATGAATATTGATTGAATACATAAAAGTTAAAATTATTATTACTATTTAACTTTGATAAATTTTGTTGAATAGTGGAAAATAAGCCTTATTAAGTAGTACTATTTTTCTTCCTCTAACTCTCATACCATGTGTGTGTTCCTTATAGGGCAACACCAAAAAATCTTTTCTTTGCATTGTTTGTTTCAAAGATTGTGAAATGGGGGAGAGTCTATGGCTTGAAACGAAGCAGGTGGTTGATGAAAATTACATTTTCCAAAAGTCCTTTTCCAACTTTATATTTTTCCATTTACTAAAATTAAATATACTTCTCAATAAAAATAAAGAAATTAAAGAGAGTTGTGGAGAAAGACGTGGCAATGTGTCAGCTTAGAAATTTTGTCCAATGATGAAAGTCTCTTGGATAAGACATTGCAACTAAGAAACGATGAATAATGGATACACGTATATATAACTAGGTATGGTCATTTGGAATATTTTACATATTCGAATAATTTGTTTAAAAAAAAGTGTTAAAGGGATTTGATAATTGATATGGAGGAAACGTAACGAAGAAGATGATTAGCTGCACAAGCAAAAAACGACGGCAATACTATAATATTATTTGGAATTTTTCTTTAAAAAAAGAGAGAATAATCTTAAATAAAATAATTAACCACTCCAAAAATATAACAAAACAAGTGTCATAAGTAAATACACCTAGGGCACTGCCCTTGCTGGACTTTTTTTAAATAATTTGACTATATTACTTAGTATATTTTATTTTCTGAAATAGTTTAATATGATATCTTAAATCAACCAATCAAGCAAGACTAATCACATCTTAAAACCATATTTTTTAAACCCGGCCCGGTGATCGACCCGGGCAGGTCCTCGGGTTACCGGGTCACCGGTTCAACCGTCGGGTCACCGAGTCAATTGCTGAACTGGACAATTAATTTTAAAATTTTTAAAATTATATATATAGTATTTTTGTTATATAAATATACATAAAAGTAACAAAATTAAATGTTTTGTGTATAAAATTTGTATATTAAAGTGTTAATAATATGTATCTCATGATAAATATTTACCATATAAACATATATACATAATTTTATTTTTAAAAAATAAAAAAAATATATAAAAAATATATATGGACTGGGTCAACCGGGTTGACTCGGCCGGGTCAATGCCCCGAGTCGACCGGGTCTCGACCGGGTCGGCCGGGTTTTGACCGGATTTGACCAGCTCCTTGGTTGGCCGGTCCAAATACTCCACCCGGATCGGTTCCGGTCCGGGTCGACCCGCCGGGCCGGTCCGGGTCACAAAACATTGCTTACAGCTATTAAATCACCAAGAATTCACTAATAAATTATTTAGCAGACCAGTTATAGTGACCAAATATCAAACGAACATCTGGCAGCTAAAGGGAAACGTAAATGTGGAGAGAAAATTACTTTGAATCAATACCAGAATTTTCTATGGCCAACAAAAGGAATCACGTGTTCTCAATCTGTGGACTATAATCATGAATTGTTTTTAACCAACATACTGTTCTCAATCTGACTATATAATCATGAATTGTTTTTAACCAACACTTCGGTGAGAATGAATATCAGATATTTTTCAGTTTTCTAGAAATACCGTGTGGTGTAAAAAATGACATGATAAGGTCAAAAAGTAATTTTATTAAGAGCGTGAGAGAAATTTCAAATGTGAATAAATATGAAATATAAAATATAATGATTAAAATTAATATAATATAAATATTATTTAACAGATTCAAAGAGTCTCAAAACCTCTTAAATGATGCAAAATGAATTTCAATAATTCAATTCTGATTTGCACTATGTGGAAAAGCATGTTTCAAATGTATTAGAATTATACTCGCAATTCTAATAATGATACTAAAAAAGCTAACTTTGAAAAATGAAAAGAAACTAAGGAAGGAGGATAAAAATCCAATTTTGAATGTTTACCAGTATGGACTTCCAACCTTTTATTTTCCTTCTTTAATTTCAAAAGACTACTCATAAGAAAAAGAATTCAAAGTACCCTACTATGCTAGGTAAAATATTATATCCATCCCTTAAATTCTACAGAAAATCAAATTTTGGGGATTTGTAAGTTTTAACCTCAGGCATGTGACTAGAAGGATATATAGCTCCCATCTTGAGTCGAAATGTGGTTAAGGTAAAGTAGAGCGGAATAATAAACCATTAAAAAAAAAAAAAAAAAAAANAAAAAAAAAAAAAAAAAAAGGTTGAATAGAATGAACATACTAAACAAGAGCTCAACTATTAGATTTTTCATAAGGTTCAACATTTACAAGATCTCTCAAGAGGGCTATGGCTAGGATTTTCTAGTTACAAGAATTAAAGACAATCAAACCTCTACTTAACATATTCATCGGCAAAAACCTCATTTGAACTCGGTTCATCAAATTCTTTTACGTATAAATGTATTATTCAAAACTCAGGTCCAGCCCAAACTACTAGGACTTTTGATTATTCAACTGACTACTTTACACCCCTGATCACAAATCACTTGACTTAATGTACACCAAAAAGAGTTCATTACATAAATTGCTTTTTGGAACCACTGTGATAAAACCAGGCTTCAACAAAGAGCAAACCCTTCAAATCTCCATTCTTTTAAAGTAATCATCAGGCATGGGGCCACATAAAATGCATCTAAAAACACAAATTCTGATATATTGTAGCACATTCTGAAGAAATAATACAATGAGAATAAATCATAGATTGGAAGAAAATAACAACTTTGTTTGAAGATGTAAGCACATTATAAAATCATTTTATAATTTTCAAGCATCAGTTTTTTGCCTCAGAGGTAGTGACAATTTGCATATCATCATGTTTATTCTGATGGAAACAAAAAGCAAATATGCATCACAGGCAAACACAATGCTTGAATTCTCACTCAGAGATTTTTAACAGAAGAATCAATTGAATCAAAAGTGTTTATACTGAGCAACACATAGAACTCAAAAACACCTGAAAAAACCCAACCTTTAACAACATGAAAAAACATCTAATGTGTAACAAAATCATTGTCATTTAGAATAATATGCAAAATTTGTACTCTGGCACATAAATATCCATTATTTTTTCAACTAATGAAAGAGTGCCAAATTACTCTGTTTTCCAAAAAAATAGTACAGCCACACTACCATAGAAAATGCTTGAATGCTGATTAATTCCATAACATAGCAGAAAAATGCAAGCAAAGTTGCAGGTCAAACTGCATTGTTCACTATAAAAGGGGGAAATTTGCAAAAATGTTAACTTTGCCTGTGAAAGTAAAACCCTAGTCTTCCATGACCAAAACGACAGACAAGAAATGGTATTACAATTAAGAGGTGGTGCTTTTTGCATATAGAAAATGAAAAAGNTATTTTCTTAGCAAATTGTAAATATCATTAATTTGAGAAAAAAAGAAATTACAAAATCATCTGAACATAGGCATCAGAGAGATTCCCATTAGACTAAGTCATCCTTTTCTCCCAAAGGGGAGCTCTGATGTCCCTGTCTATTTTATCATCATATGCCAAAACATAGTGTTGGAAGGCAAAACAAAACATATCAAATGCTTCATAGCCTCAGATGATATGCTTTTCATAGAGAAAACACTCAAAGTATATTTAACACCATCATAGGCAGAAGAAACATTCCTAGAAAAATCACAACACTTTGTTTATCAATTATCAAAAATTTCTTCCCATTTGTTCACTGAGAAGCAGAGAGATTCTACAAAGAAAGGCAGCACTAGGGTTTCATGTCTGGAGTTCAAAGGGCCGCCCCCAAATAATAGATCTGTTTTGGTGACTAGGGTTTCAAGAATTTGCAGAGGTGCAAAAACACCCATAATGAATAAATATTCATGTTTTTTTTAAAAAAAAAATTAAATGCCTTATTTTTTAAAAAAATATATGTATGGATTTAATTTAAATAATTTAAACAAAATAAATGGCCAAATTAAGTACAGAAATTCTATGGCGCCCATATGAGCACTATATGGTGCCATAATTTCACGATCCAACGCCTAATATTCATTCTATGGTGCCCATATGAGCGCCATAGAATTTCTGAATTAAGTGACATGATAACTTGATGCACATCAGTTATATTTAAAAATATATTTTTATTTTGTGTTAAAAATATATTTAACTATATTGAATGTTTCAAAAAATAAATTGCCATGTTCAAACCTATGTTGATCAGTTTCAATTTCAAAGATCGATATTTTGAACGATTCTTTGATAAACGGTTCAAAAGGGTCGACCGAAAGCCCGACCAGCCAATTACGTTCGATTCTCTCATTTTTGAGCAAGAAATATTCCATCATTTAGTTAATATACAT